GAGAGAGAGGGAGGGATCTGAAGAGGGTGAGGGAAGGATGAAGAGAATGAGAAGAGACTTAGAGAGAGAGAGAGGGAGGGATCTGAAGAGGGTGAGGGAAGGATGAAGAGAATGAGAAGAGACTTAGAGAGAGAGAGAGGGAGGGATCTGAAGAGGGTGAGGGAAGGATGAAGAGAATGAGAAGAGACTAAGAGAGAGAGGGAGGGATCTGAAGAGGGTGAGGGAAGGATGAAGAGAATGAGAAGAGACTTAGAGAGAGAGAGAGAGAGAGGGATCTGAAGAGGGTGAGGGAAGGATGAAGAGAATGAGAAGAGACTTAGAGAGAGAGAGAGGGAGGGATCTGAAGAGGGTGAGGGAAGGATGAATAGAATGAGAAGAGACTTAGAGAGAGAGAGAGAGGGATCTGAAGAGGGTGAGGGAAGGATGAAGAGAATGAGAAGAGACTTAGAGAGAGAGGGAGGGATCTGAAGAGGGTGAGGGAAGGATGAAGAGAATGAGAAGAGACTTAGAGAGAGAGAGAGGGATTTGAAGAGGGTGAGGGAAGGATGAAGAGAATGAGAAGAGACTTAGAGAGAGAGAGAGGGATCTGAAGAGGGTGAGGGAAGGATGAATAGAATGAGAAGAGACTTAGAGAGAGAGAGAGGGAGGGATCTGAAGAGGGTGAGGGAAGGATGAAGAGAATGAGAAGAGACTTAGAGAGAGAGAGAGGGAGAGATCTGAAGAGGGTGAGGGAAGGATGAAGAGAATGAGAAGAGACTTAGAGAGAGAGAGAGGGAGGGATCTGAAAAGGGTGAGGGAAGGATGAAGAGAATGAGAAGAGACTTAGAGAGAGAGAGAGGGAGGGATCTGATGAGGGTGAGGGAAGGATGAATAGAATGAGAAGAGACTTAGAGAGAGAGAGGGATCTGAAGAGGGTGAGGGAAGGATGAAGAGAATGAGAAGAGACTTAGAGAGAGAGAGGGAGGGATCTGAAGAGGGTGAGGGAAGGATGAATAGAATGAGAAGAGACTTAGAGAGAGAGGGAGGGATCTGAAGAGGGTGAGGGAAGGATGAAGAGAATGAGAAGAGACTTAGAGAGAGAGGGAGGGATCTGAAGAGGGTGAGGGAAGGATGAAGAGAATGAGAAGAGACTTAGAGAGAGAGAGGGAGGGATCTGAAGAGGGTGAGGGAAGGATGAAGAGAATGAGAAGAGACTTAGAGAGAGAGAGAGAGGGATCTGAAGAGGGTGAGGGAAGGATGAAGAGAATGAGAAGAGACTTAGAGAGAGGGAGGGATCTGAAGAGGGTGAGGGAAGGATGAAGAGAATGAGAAGAGACTTAGAGAGAGAGAGAGGGAGGGATCTGAAGAGGGTGAGGGAAGGATGAATAGAATGAGAAGAGACTTAGAGAGAGAGAGAGGGATCTGAAGAGGGTGAGGGAAGGATGAAGAGAATGAGAAGAGACTTAGAGAGAGAGAGGGAGGGATCTGAAGAGGGTGAGGGAAGGATGAAGAGAATGAGAGAGACTTAGAGAGAGAGAGAGAGGGATCTGAAAAGGGTGAGGGAAGGATGAATAGAATGAGAAGAGACTTAGAGAGAGAGAGAGGGAGGGATCTGAAGAGGGTGAGGGAAGGATGAAGAGAATGAGAAGAGACTTAGAGAGAGAGAGAGAGAGGGATCTGAAGAGGGTGAGGGAAGGATGAATAGAATGAGAAGAGACTTAGAGAGAGAGAGAGGGAGGGATCTGAAGAGGGTGAGGGAAGGATGAAGAGAATGAGAAGAGACTAAGAGAGAGAGGGAGGGATCTGAAGAGGGTGAGGGAAGGATGAAGAGAATGAGAAGAGACTTAGAGAGAGAGAGAGAGAGGGATCTGAAGAGGGTGAGGGAAGGATGAAGAGAATGAGAAGAGACTTAGAGAGAGAGAGAGGGAGGGATCTGAAGAGGGTGAGGGAAGGATGAATAGAATGAGAAGAGACTTAGAGAGAGAGAGAGAGGGATCTGAAGAGGGTGAGGGAAGGATGAATAGAATGAGAAGAGACTTAGAGAGAGAGGGAGGGATCTGAAGAGGGTGAGGGAAGGATGAAGAGAATGAGAAGAGACTTAGAGAGAGAGAGAGGGATTTGAAGAGGGTGAGGGAAGGATGAAGAGAATGAGAAGAGACTTAGAGAGAGAGAGAGGGATCTGAAGAGGGTGAGGGAAGGATGAATAGAATGAGAAGAGACTTAGAGAGAGAGAGAGGGAGGGATCTGAAGAGGGTGAGGGAAGGATGAAGAGAATGAGAAGAGACTTAGAGAGAGAGAGAGGGAGGGATCTGAAGAGGGTGAGGGAAGGATGAAGAGAATGAGAAGAGACTAAGAGAGAGAGGGAGGGATCTGAAGAGGGTGAGGGAAGGATGAAGAGAATGAGAAGAGACTTAGAGAGAGAGAGAGAGAGAGAGGGATCTGAAGAGGGTGAGGGAAGGATGAAGAGAATGAGAAGAGACTTAGAGAGAGAGAGAGGGAGGGATCTGAAGAGGGTGAGGGAAGGATGAATAGAATGAGAAGAGACTTAGAGAGAGAGAGAGAGGGATCTGAAGAGGGTGAGGGAAGGATGAATAGAATGAGAAGAGACTTAGAGAGAGAGGGAGGGATCTGAAGAGGGTGAGGGAAGGATGAAGAGAATGAGAAGAGACTTAGAGAGAGAGAGAGGGATTTGAAGAGGGTGAGGGAAGGATGAAGAGAATGAGAAGAGACTTAGAGAGAGAGAGAGGGATCTGAAGAGGGTGAGGGAAGGATGAATAGAATGAGAAGAGACTTAGAGAGAGAGAGAGGGAGGGATCTGAAGAGGGTGAGGGAAGGATGAAGAGAATGAGAAGAGACTTAGAGAGAGAGAGAGGGAGAGATCTGAAGAGGGTGAGGGAAGGATGAAGAGAATGAGAAGAGACTTAGAGAGAGAGGGAGGGATCTGAAGAGGGTGAGGGAAGGATGAATAGAATGAGAAGAGACTTAGAGAGAGAGGGAGGGATCTGAAGAGGGTGAGGGAAGGATGAAGAGAATGAGAAGAGACTTAGAGAGAGAGAGGGAGGGATCTGAAGAGGGTGAGGGAAGGATGAAGAGAATGAGAAGAGACTTAGAGAGAGAGGGAGGGATCTGAAGAGGGTGAGGGAAGGATGAATAGAATGAGAAGAGACTTAGAGAGAGAGGGAGGGATCTGAAGAGGGTGAGGGAAGGATGAAGAGAATGAGAAGAGACTTAGAGAGAGAGAGAGGGAGGGATCTGAAGAGGGTGAGGGAAGGATGAAGAGAATGAGTAGAGACTTAGAGAGAGAGAGAGGGAGGGATCTGAAGAGGGTGAGGGAAGGATGAAGAGAATGAGAAGAGACTTAGAGAGAGAGGGAGGGATCTGAAGAGGGTGAGGGAAGGATGAAGAGAATGAGAAGAGACTTAGAGAGAGAGAGAGGGATCTGAAGAGGGTGAGGGAAGGATGAAGAGAATGAGAAGAGACTTAGAGAGAGAGAGAGGGAGGGATCTGAAGAGGGTGAGGGAAGGATGAAGAGAATGAGAAGAGACTAAGAGAGAGAGGGAGGGATCTGAAGAGGGTGAGGAAAGGATGAAGAGAATGAGAAGAGACTTAGAGAGAGAGAGAGAGGGATCTGAAGAGGGTGAGGGAAGGATGAAGAGAATGAGAAGAGACTAAGAGAGAGAGGGAGGGATCTGAAGAGGGTGAGGGAAGGATGAAGAGAATGAGAAGAGACTTAGAGAGAGAGAGGGAGGGATCTGAAGAGGGTGAGGGAAGGATGAATAGAATGAGAAGAGACTTAGAGAGAGAGGGAGGGATCTGAAGAGGGTGAGGGAAGGATGAATAGAATGAGAAGAGACTTAGAGAGAGAGAGGGAAAATGATAGTAATATGCTTTATGAATAAAACATCTTTTCAATGAGTACAAACGGTTTGACAGAAAACAAGCCCCCCCCCAAAAAAAAAACAAAAAACAAAACAAAACAAAACAAAACAAAACAGACAAGGCAAGACAATGCTATAGAATAATTAGAAAAGATGTCCTTTCAGAAACATTTTAAAATTTTGTTGAGTATGGCAATTCTTTAATTCAAGAGATGGGTGAAGGAGGAAGAGAGAAGATGAGAAACGGAAGAGGGTAGATGAGAAGGATAGAGAGAGAGAGAGAGAGAGAGAAAAATGGCGCACAAGGGAGAAAGGAAAGTAGGAGAAGAATAAAAGTGGGAGAGAAACAGAGGGTGAATGAGAAAGAGGGAGATGAAAGAAGGGAACAGGAAAGGTTGAACGAGAAAGAGAAAGAGGAGAAATGGAAAGAAAGGGGAGCTTTGATATCCTCATTTATGAAAGACATGGTAGATATGACCTTGCCCCATAAAAAGTCAAAGGCGTATAGAGCAGATTGCTCAATGCAACATACATATATCATGTGACATTGAGAAAAAAAACAAGGGGATATATTCCATCCTGCTACATGAGTTGAATCGTCACATCTGAATATTTACAGCTGCCTACAATTTATTTTCTGCTATGAGTTACTTTCTTATTGCTTTTTATGAAAATATCAGTATTGGGAATTAAAGATATGCAAAAGACATATATTGCTGATGATATTTCCATGATTTGTGAAGTAATTGTGAAGCATGCCTTTGAAAACATCAGAGGAATGAATTTTGCATTCCAGTCATTTAAAAAGAATTTTAATACAGTAAGAGCACAGGTGTGGTTATTAGTTGTCTTGTTTGTGTAGTCTAACTGCCTCAATCATATCCAGAAGAACCTTGTGACTGCAGTGGCAGTGTTTAATGAAGACATTTGAGAAACATCAAACTCAAAAAAGTGTCAGAAATTAATATTTCTAAAGATAAATCTGTCCAATTTTTGTTGCCATTGTATTAATACCATGTAGCAAGGATGTTTTAAAGGAATTACATCATTGGATCTTCCTCTTCATCACATTTTACGATGTGATACATTTTTATATTTTACAATGTGCTATTTAAAAAGGAGTCGAAACTCAAATTACATATCATATGAATGTTCATGAAAATTTATTTTGCAAAATAATGGCACAAAATATGCAAGGGTATCAAATTGGCAAAAGTATTATCCCATAGGCCTCATAATACATATATCTACATGTATCGGGAGATAATATACAGCTATATCAGCTCAAGCAAAGCCTTGGTATTGATCAGTGCTCATGCTTCCTTGTGTCTGTGAGGCCCCTCCGCACCACCCAAAGATACTCAGCGAACTCATGCAAGGTCACATGCATAACCCTATGAAGCAATCTCAAGTGTCAACCAACCCTATGATCTGCATTCATTGCCCCTGGTGAACTTTCTTTGTATTTGGATGGTGAAGTCAGTAAACTGCGATAAATACAAAGAATGGTGTATGTGTGCTCAATTTATCGAGCTTCTTAAATTTGACGGCTCCTTTTTAACAATAAATTGGTGACATTTTTAGATACATGAATGTGGCATGTCCAGGGGCGATAGTGAGCACTAAAAAAAAAGAAAAGTTTTTTTGTTTTCCCCTCAACCATGCCCCCCTTGAGTAAATGCTTTCTTAGCAGTCAGGTAAAATAACCACCACTACACACATGTGACCACGTCTGAGTTCATAGAGTGCCGACCTTGGATGGTGCAGAGGAGATGCAGAGACATGGGGGAGCATGACCCCTCGGTAGTGAGGTTTACTGGAGCTATACATAGAAGACAATGTTGGATAACATTATGTTGACAAAGACATTCCATACTCTGGATTTTCCTTGTTAGTTTTTACTTTTATTTCAGGATTATGTCTCTTTCTTGAAATGTTCTTCAGTTTTTGCTCTGGATCACTTTCCATCTTGTAAATGGTTTCCACAAGGTCTGCATAATCCAATTAAACAAGACATAAATACGACTTATATGCCTCTGCCTTATTTCAGGAAAGATTTATTCTTGAAATATAGTGATGAGTGAAAAAATCCCAAATTTACATGTACATTGATCTTTATCACTTTTGACCTTTGACCTGACAATCCTACATCCTGATCACCTGTCTCCCTATGGTGATGCAAACTAGTTACAAGTTTGAAGTTCCTTATGTCATAATTCACCAACACTGGACTGGGTGGAAATACCATTAATGAGTGTACAAGTCTCGCAAACAGCGAATTGGACTGTCTCACCCCTTAATTTAACCCCAAAATTTATGATCGATGATCTTTCCTTATGGAGTAATTGGTTGAAATTGTAGTCCATTCCATAAGACCTGTACGGTATAAAAGTAAAGGTCACTCTTGCTGATTGATAACATTCCGTTATCGGAAGAATACTCTAATATTTTCAAAGTTCCCAAGAGAGCCTATATGCTTAAGTGTATTCAATGATCACCTAGTTAAGCAGGGATATTTGGGCATAATGATAATGATATGATAGATTATCATCATTACGTTCGATGTTGCTATTTATCCCTACACATTGCTAATGCTGCTCCTAATGATGCATCGCCCTGATCACTGTACACGAATGGTAAACTCTGAAATGCTCTCTCAATCTCTTGCTTGAGTACTGGGTTACGAAGCAGGGCACTGCCACAACCAACAACCTGTGTCACTCCCTTAGCAACCATCTCATCAGGGGGAGCCATTGCGCTAAGGTTCTCTGCAATTCCGCGGCAAGTGGCCCTGAAGACGTCCCCAAGGGACAGGTTCTCAAAACAGACGTTGGACACCGTACCCCTCCTGTTCGGCTGATGGCGTTCTCCTCCCAGAACGGGATCGACCTTGAGCGTGGTGTCCTCGCATTTCAAACCCAAGTCGATCAACTTGGAGAATAATTGATCTCTGTCGGATGCTTGGGGTAAATCCAAACTGTGCAGCCACTCCTGGAGTGTAGTCACCAGCTGGGCCAGGACGTTGCCTCCTGTAAGGGCGGCAGCCACAGAGAGGAAGGTCCCGTCGAAGAATGGGAAGTACTCGATGGGGGAGGAGGGGTCTGACTTGGGCGGGCTGAACCCAGCTGGTGTGGTAGTAACAATCTGAGCAGATGTGCCGATGCTAATCACTGTAATGAATGGTACAAGATTATGATAAGCAATGGGTTGATTGGATGACAAAGTTTGTTCTTGATTGTCGGGGAAGGATGGAGCCGAGATTATGCGGCACTCGATAGTTTCACACAAGTACAGAAATTTAACGCAAATACAGAATTTAAGTTCTACATTTGTCTGTATTCTTAAGATAACATAATTTTACTAGTTAATTTCTTAACTGCCATGTATCACTCTCGATTCTCCAAGAACATGAATAAATAACAATTTTTAAGTGAAATGAAAATGAGAAAAGATATCCATGATGAAACGTGGCATGCTTTTATGTTTATCTAGAATTATAGTAATTTACACAAAATGAATATGTTGACACATGGTGTTTGGTAAATAAACCTATTAAACTGTTACCTACTGGGACCTGGTGGTTCCAGTTTTTTTCAAACCTATGAGGAAAATGAAAATTCATTAGCGAACAGTTTAAGTCATGCTTAACTTGAAAATGGTCTGTTTAAAAAAATGCTACCCCAAACTGCGTAGCTTCTGACGGGCGAAAACAAATTCTTATCCGAATATAGCTAGAGCAGAATTTAAAAATTTATGGCAGAGTCTATTACCTACCCACATTACTAGAGAGCATTTCAGATAATCTTCAAGTTCTAGTTCTGATGGAAAATAAATTTTCAAAGAATCAACTAAACTTACAAGAATGTTCACAAACAAATATAATTGAAGTTCTGCCGAAAGACGTACATTGGTAAAAAAAAAAAAAGGGTTGCTTCATTGCTAAGTAATGAGTGACATGAAGTCAGTGAATACGATTTCCAGCAAACCCAACATCTGCATGATGCAGAAGTCATAATGTTGGTACTTCAGTACCAACATTGCCAAAATTCAAGATTAGCTTTAAAGTCATAATTCGCAGACACCAGACTTGGTTGCAATACCATTGACTGGTATACAAGACTCGCACATAGCTAAATGGATGCCCCACCAGGAAATTATTTGAGCATGCTGCCCCTCCCCCCCCCCCCCCACCAAGATCTCAGAGTCTTCCAGTGGGTAAAACTAGGAAAACTCATGATGAAGAAATATTCCTTATGGAGAATTGGCAAGGAGTGTAGTGCATTACATAAGACCTTCGTTAAAAGTGATCGATATCTGTTATCAAGTGAAGACCCAAGAATTACACTTCAAGCAAAAACCATTAGTTTTTCTCACCATCCCGGCAGAGTTTTGTTGCAAGTTGCTAGGCAACTAAATACCCCAAAACACAACGAAACACCTGAATAAAGAAACCCATCCACTGGAGTGTTGTGTTTGGAAACGCCGGCCAAAACTCCACCGGTTTTAGCAGTGTTAATGCTCATTCTCCTAACACCAGTGAATTATTCCGGACTTTGGTAATGTGACTTTCCTTGCTTCCGTGCTAATGTATGTGGAGCGGCGGTAAGTGGTGCATGCGCACAACTCACAAAAAAAAAGAAGAGAAAAGAACAGAATTATCAATACCTCCATCACTCGATGCTTGTAGCACTGGTAGTATGGTACACGGTAGGTCCCCCATCCCAACTCCAACATCCACAGCCTCTGGTAAGACTCCATCACACCAACTAGACTCCCTGGTCTGGCCTGCAATGGTACCTGGATCTCTCACTTCTGGTAGGAGATGGACTGGAAACCCAGCCTTGGACAGCCTACAGTACAGAAATCCAGGACATCAACTCAGATTCTAGCTTGAATTCATATTTTGAAATTTATATCAATTACTTATTCTAAATTCTTATTTCAGTAAGGTTTTTGTATAAGAATCAAATACATCCTTTTGGAACGTTATAAAATAAAAAATATATAAAACAGTTGAAATAGGCCTTTGAGGCATCTTGGTGTTCTTAGAGTGTGGGAACTGTCAGCACATTTGGTTCATTTTAATCAATATACAGAGAAATAACACAAGTGAGCTCAAAGGCCTACTGCGTACGCGCCTGCTTATACTGAAGGTAAAACATGAATACTATGTCATGATCATACTATTCATACTCATAGTACATGATTTATTTAAGTCCAGCTTTTATTTAGACTTACAGTTGTACTTCAAGTAAAAATGAATTACATTTGAGAATTCCAGGCATTGGTTTTGCAGTTGAAATACCCCCAGCTTGCTGCGTTCTGTGTTGACATAACAGGACGATCGATCCCACATAACATTGTCACAAACAGATCCATGATCGTTCCGGCTCGATCAAATCTCTCCAAAAAATGTGGGTTGTTTTTCTGATGCCAGAATGCAGTAGCACAGCCGTGACCTGTCGCTAATCTGAGGTGCGAGTCCGGAGATGGAAGTTCAGCAAGAAAATCAGGACTGCATCTCCCATCTTGCCATGTGAACAGATTGCTAAATTTCTCCCCGCTTGTTTCTTTTTCATCTTCCTTGACTTCTTTTACGATGTCTTTGATTGTTACATCAGATTTCCAAAAGACAATGCCGTGCATCTGTCCCGTCACGCCTATAGCCTTCAAATCGTACACGGGTTCGCATTCAGAATAAAATCGCGCCAACTGCTGTAGGCATGCTTGAATAGTTTTGAAGATTTTCGTTACGTCCTGCTCATCCGATAAGTGTGGGTACTCCACGCCAGCAGCCTGGGCGGACGTGGACTGGGCGACCGTGTGCAAAACCTCGCGGGTATTGGAGTTGATCAGCGATAGTTTGACTGATGTTGTGCCTAAATCGATCCCGAGTTTTGTGTCTACGGACTTAACACTCATTTTTATGAATATTTCATATTCCTGCAGGTTTGAATTCTGATGCAAAGTTGTCTTCCAAATAGCGAAAAAATAAACAAAATTAATATTTGTTTGATAAGCACGGTAATAAGTGGGCGTGTACCCCGCAAACACGTATGGCACGCCAAATGTGCATTCTTCACTTGCATTACAACCAAACGGTGACCCCCCCCCCTCTTCTTCCCTCTTTTGTGTATTGATAACAATTAAAAAGTTCGTTAACCTCGCAAATGATATGATGATAAACACTATGAACATGACGGACAAAGAAAGCGGACAAAATATACAGTTCCTCGGGTAGACAAAGGAACATCCCTTCACTGCTATTATGTAAAAAGGTGAATATGCATGTGACACCTGTTCTACACAATTTTACATAATAGCAGTGAAGGGATGTTCCTTTGAGTACCTGAGGAACTGTATATTTTGTCCGCTTTCTTTGTCAGTCATATTCATAGTGAAACCGTTGATCAAACCAGGGAGGTGAAAGAAAGGAGTCGAAACTCTTGTAATTTATTCAAACGCATTCGTGAGTTCTAAAGCGTAACAATGGGATGTGTAACATTCCACTTGGCTTTGAAGTTCCATGCTCCGAACCGCGCTTCCACTGCGGGGACTTTCGGAAGCCAGGCATCAGTTTTACATTTATTACAAAATATTAAATTACCGGCAAAATTGCAGTGTAAATCAAAAACTTTATATGGTGATTTTATTGAGAATAGTGCATCAAACAAATTTTCAATTTTAGAACTCCGTCCTTCCTATAATTTGTATGCCAGAGTTGGTAAAAGAAAAATTACATCCTGACAAAAACTCAATATTTTAGGATGATGCGCTAATTTGTGCATGCTTTAATGTCCCGTTATTTGATCCATGATTTACAATCTTCAACAACATTAAGTTCGCTAATGCGTGTTTTCGCGTGTTTTTTTGTATTTTTCAAGTTAAAAAAGGATGAAATTACACAAGTTTGTGTTCGCTTGTTCTACTCTTTACACATTCAACAATGGATGAGAAATCATTGGAAGGGACAGCGAACAGTTGCTGTGATACCATTTTCTGATGTAGGAATGCTAAAACCTGAAATTACATGCGCTCTTTTATCTCACCACCTGGTCAACAGATGCAGGTTAGCGCATAACTTTTCGGCGGCTTGGAGCATGGGGTCAAAGGAGAGCGGCTTGATTCCAGTCCTTCTCTATCACGTCCCTGATCAAACTATGCTGATAGATTAGATCTTGCATTTAATTCGATGGGCATATTATATTCAGACACCCAAATACGAGGATAAACAGGCATGTCGCTGCCGGTGTCGCTGTCCAAATATGAGGTGATGGTTGCTCGAAAATTGGAGCCCAGCCCCCCCCCCCCCCCGTAGAGCTATGGCTCTGGTTTTAGCCGCTCTACCATGATAAGGCGCTCAAGCATCCACCCTTCTTTATGACTAGCTGCGTTGAAAGAAACGCAAGAATGCAGAAAATTGTCTTGCCAGGTGGCCAAAGGACGTTAGAATCGTGATAGAGATTCGAACCACGTGCCAAGTGATCCAAAATCCGATCGATGGCTTATCCACTAGTCGACGACATCTTGATAATTTAGCCATCGCGTGAGGGAAGAGGGACGTTTATCATTTTATTTTTTTCGATAGACAGATATAGAGATAGAAAAAAAATAATGATGGAATCTTAAATTATTACAAAAAGACATCTATCAGATGAACTTAATGAATTATTAGAGGAAGAGTAACATAGGGAGAAAGAGAAGGAGTAATTAGATAATTGGGTTAAAAAGGCGAGCGAAATGGAAGCAGGGGGGTCGTGCACCCCCATGCCCCTAGATTGAATCTCAGTGTATCAAAATACGACATCTCATGGTTGAAAATCATAGAGAATAAAGGAAGAGCTGGGGGAAACAAACAGAGATAGAGAAAATAAAGGAAGAGTAGGATGATAGGTGTATAATGTGTGAGAGTGAGAGAGTGGGAGAAAAGAGAAAGATGGAATCATAGTTTATTATAGTATGACATCTCATCGGGGAAAAATATAGAGATCGAGAGAGGAAGAGAAATAAATAGAGAGAGAGAGAGAGAGAGAGAGAGAGAATAGAGAAGGGCGATGAGTTGGGTGTGTGGGTGTACGTGAAGGAGAAAAAATAGAAATTTGGTTTGAATCAAAGAACATCCACCCTTTTTGCCCATGTTTGTTCCTTTGTGATTGAAGCAACCTTTCATGCTTTATATTTTGTTTACAAAATATTAGTAGAGAGAACCATTAGTCATAGAAATTAGTTTTCACGCTCCTTTCGACATACACCTTAGATATATTGTTCCTCAATCGAAAACTGCATTATCATGATAATCAGAAGCACAAAAACAAAAGTTAAGGTGGTATGCATACATCATACATAGAGAGAGGGAGAGGGAGAGGGAGAGGAGAGAGAGAGAGAGAGAGAGAGAGAGAGGGGGGGGGGGGGGGGGGGTGATGCACCCCGAAAAAAGACGTGTGGTTTTCCATACTTGGGGGAAGTATATACATGTAAAAGGAACTATAATGAGATAATTATGCACGGTTGTAAATAACATTATTTTTTTAGTCTCCTTTTCTTTTACAAGCTTTCGATCTATACCTCATGATCTTCTTCAGGACTCATGTATATAATTGAAAGGTTTATATCGATGTTCATAATGGCGTTGTGTGTTAATCCGTTTTGTGTCAATTTGTGTTAATCCCCGGGTGTTAATCTGTTAATTCATTTCTGAGTGGTTCCTCAGCAAAATGTGGAGTGATCGTCGATACTGTTTTGAGTATGACTTTGTGTGAGATCATGGTTTCTTGCTTTCGTATGTGCGTTTGCTTTTCATTCTCCTTTTTTTCTTTCTATCTCTCTCTCTCTCTCTCTTTCATGGTCCGTCTCTATCTTTCAGCGTCTATTTACACCACGCCCTTTCTCTCCTTCTCACACTCTCCAATCCTGTGAAAAGCGCTTTGTCCTCTTTCTTTCTTCATGTTGCCCACCTCTTATCCGACTATCTGACTTATACCAGTTTACGCGAATAAAAATCTGAGGTGATAATTCAAAATGTAATTCTTTTATTCAGTTTCTTGCGATATATTCCATTCTACCTTCTGTCAAAAACAAAACAATTTTAAATCCCACGAGTTCAATCAGTTATGGATCGAACTGTTTTATACATATGTACAAAGACATATCATCAGTTTCTGTTTGTAATTCTCTGAAATTGCGCATATTATTTATGATTATGTACACAGTCAAGTACAATAAAAATAATACACCTCTGATACACAGTTAGTACGGGTAAAAGTTAAAAGGATTACATTTCCTTCAATTTACAATTTCCTAGGTTTATGAGGACTATTTAAATGTCTGCATTTCTGTGAAAGTTCACTTCGAGTGTTTAAAAAGTGGATATTATCTCTTACCATTAGATTCCTCGGTTCACGGATGGTTCACTAAATTATTGATGTCTCAACGATGAAACTTAATATGGTCAGTTTAGACGGAACCCTATTCTTGCTGATTAATCTCACAATATAAAAAATAGAAATCGATGAATAATAACAAATTGGATAAACCATATATACCTGTCCGGCCGGACAGATATCGCCAACGTATATGTTGTCCTCCTGGAGCTGACTATGGATTATGTCTTAGAACAGCTAGCTGCACACACACGCACAAATATTTTACCAAATATAACAAAACATCTCAACTCAACAAACATAACATCCAAAAATTATGTGTACAACATCGCGGATAACCAAATACTTTTCTTATCACATGATGAAACAATAATTAAAAGCAAAATATATCCATTAAAAATATATTTACATGGAATCGTTGTCTCGACTTATAAAGATGTTACAAGCATTGTTTGTTCTTGCAACAAATGCTATATTTCGCAAGTCCTTCTGTAAAACTCGTCATACGTATTATTTTGTTTCCACTTTATCCAAATACAAAAATATACACTCTCATATATATTTGCAAAATAAATTCAGATATAAAAAAACGTTTCTACAAACACATGAATTAATACGATATGATTCTTTGAATGAGAACATTATACATGTATATATATATATATAATATTATATTTACATAGTCAACACCTTCCAACACATAGTCAACACAAACAGATGAACTATAAGACATGTTATTACCATTGTGTATTCCTCTGAAATATTTATGATTATGTACACACATACAATTATTAACACAATAACAACTCTGATACACAGTCAGTGTGGGTAAAAGTTGAAGGGATTGCATTTCCTTATATTTACAATTTCAATCTCAATATCATACAATATGATTTAACAAATACGATTAGTGATATCTTGTCTCTTGACTTCTGCACTTTTAGGAAATCTTAATCTGAGTGTTCATTTTTAAACAGATATTACCTGTTACCAATATATATATATATATATATATATTGGGTCACGGTGGTTCATCAAATTACTGATATCCTAACGATGGAACTTACTATGGTCAGTCTAGATGAAACTCTATTCATGCTGTTTAATCTCACAATATATACAAATGGAAATCGACGAATAATAACAATGTACTTTTGATGAGCAACATATAGATCTGTCCGGCCGGACAGATAAAACAAACGTAACGGTTGTCCTCCTGGAGCTGACTATCGATTAAATCTTAGAACAGCTAGCTGCACACACACACTCAAAAGATTTTTACCAAATGACCTTAACAAACAAAACATCACAACTGTAATAACCATATAAAGTCTATAAACATGGATCTATCAGGTCTACGACATAACCAATTTAGTTGTTTATGACACGATAACAAAAAAAAGAAGCAAATGACATGCATTTAATATATTTTGTAAGTCTTATATAAATACATTAAATTGTTGTCTCTACAATTTCTGATCAGATAGTTACAAAAATTTGTTGTTCTTACAATAAATTCCATATTTCGCAAGTCCTTCTGTTAAACTCGTCATACGTATTATTTGTTTCCACTTTACTCACATACAGAAATATACACTCTCATATATATTTGC